CCATCTTCAATGATGTCAACATATTATAATCCATAGTTTCAAGAACCATAAGGGTTTTTCTCATCCACATTGTGAAGCTATTTTCATTAAATAGGGGTACCATGTTGATTGAATATGATGAGAAAGTTGTTGAATCTGATAAGGAATCCATTTTTTATTTGTAGAAGAAACGAAATAAACTCGCTCTGGTACCCGTTGTTGGATCGTGTACACCATGTATTGCAAATAACAATAAGAGTAAACAAGAACAATTCACAAATCTTAATTAGAAACTTATTTTGATTAAGAATATATTTCTCGCAATGAGTTTTGCTTACAATCGGTTTGTGCATATGGAGAAACAAACCCTAGCATAACATATATATATATATATATATATATATATATATATATATATACACTACTCTAAATGATATAAACAAGTCTCTATAAGTCGGGGAACAAAATACAAAAATTGATCCTAATCACTAAGACTTCAGATCTAGTCTTGTAGCACAAGAAAGACTCTCATTATGACACTTCAAGAACAAATCCTCAACTCAAGAATACATTGAAGCAATATTCAGTGTGAAAGTACTTTGACACTAATCAAATTCTTAGGTTTAGCCTAACACCTTCGCTTTCACAATGCACTTGTCACACCAAATATTTTCTAAAATATTATCTATGTCTGACAATTCAATCGCGATAACCATTAGAATTTTGAAATTCGACAAATCTTACGTTTTTGTAAATGACCCTCCGACCAAACACACTCTTCTCTGATGTGTTAGCACTTGGGATCTCTACCCAGTACGTCTCCCAAAGTCTCCACCGAAAGCGTTAATTTCTTCAAGCTCCACAATATGGAAGTAAAGACTCAGATATCCTGAGAATGTAGTGCTACGTTATATGATTTCTAGAAATTTATTCCATGTAATAAACATTTGGCGAGTTTCCTATGTAATACATGTCGACTTGGCAAACATATGTGTCTTCTTTTTTCTGCATTCATTAAAATTTTTAATGCGACGTTTGATTTAGTAAATTTTAGACTGCTACTCATACTTGCTTTGGGTTTAACCCCAGTTAGAGAAACATATATGCAATGTAATAGTTTGGTGGTTTCCATCCATGGGAATCGCTAAGAACATATTTCTTGTAACATCCATAAAAATCATGCCAAATTTAAACTTTTTAAAACATTTCAAAACCAATAATTATTACAAAACTTGTTTTCAAAATAGTATAGTGTCAGAGTATCCCAGAATCAAATTATAAAACATAAGGAGGAGTACGATCATGCCTTCGCCTTCCCGCAATCATCAGAAGTACCTGAAACAAAATCAACAATTGTAAGCCCGAAGCTTAGTGAGTTCCCCCAAAATACCAACGCCATACAAACCATATCAATAACATATAAACAAACAGCATGCATAATGAGCCTTCAGTCTAATCGGACCGCCTCGCAGGGCCTTCAGCCTATCTGGACCGCTCTTCGAGCCTTCGGCACGTCTGGACCACCTCGTAGGGCCTTCAGCCTATCCGGACAGCTCATCGTGCCTTCGGCACGTCTGGACCGCCTCGCAGGGCCTTCAACCTATCCGGACCACTCACCGGGCCTTCGGCCTGACTAGTACGCCCTCTCGGGCATGTAGTCTATCAGGTCCGCGCTGGGTATGTTGGCCTTCAGCACAAAGCAAGACCGCCTAAACCTAAACCCCAATCAAACAATCATGTGCATATAAATATCATACGGTAGCATGTATATAACAGTCAAACTGATCTAACATATCACTAAGCATAGCAACATCCTATAACCAGGATACCGACCTAACCGGTCACTAACATAGCGTTATCCTATATACCAGGATACCGACCTAACCAGGTCACTAAGCATATCACCATCCTAACTACCAGGATGCAAATCAATAACCATATCATGCAATAAATCCGGATACAAATCCGAAAAGGGCCGGCATTGGTGCCTTAGACCCGGTTGATATAGTGAGAAGAACTCACCTCACAAATGTCGAACGGTAGTGCTAAGATCAAACTCTCGAATCACAGCCACGAACTCCACAACCTATATTCATCATAGGACCACTTCCATAAATTCCTAATTTACTAAAATACCCCCAGCAGTCAAATTGGTCAACCCTTGGTCAAAGTCACAGTCAACGGTCAAGGTCAACAGTCCATGTTGACCCAACTCGTCGAGTGCAGTTCACTGACTCGTCGAGTCCTTCCAGAACTCGAGAAATCGTGAAAACCCTAGTTGACTGCCAAGTTTCCAAGCAACTTGTCAAGTCTATGCGTGTCCAAAAGTCGGAAAAACCCTAACTGACTCGTCGAGTTCATGCAGAAACCAACAACGGCCAATCTTCATCGGACTCGCCGGGTTGACCATGCAACTCGTCGAGTCCCTTCAGTCCATTTCCCATTCAGACGTTTTTAAGCTACCCCAAAGCTCCAAATTGTAGATCTAGCTTCCTAAGGCACAGATTCCACGTAAAGTTGCAAACTTTACGTGCATGCAAGGTCTCAAAGGCTTAGAACACCAAAACTAAGTCTAGAATGAGGTTTAGGGCATGGTGAGAGGTCAATACAAGGTAAAGTTGATAGCTTTATGAATTTGGGACCTAGAGGAGTCCAGATCTGAAGTTACAACTTCAGATCATGGCCAGTACCCGAAATGGTTCACATATATGCTAAAAATGGCCTTAAACTTAAGCATGGAGAGATCTAGCTAGAGAGAAGTCAAGGTAACAACTTGATACCTTCCAGATTATGCCAAGATGAAGTAGAAGTCGGATCCAAAAGCTTCTCCTTGTTCCAAGCTCCTTAGACTTCAAGTCCTCTCCACAAATACACCTTCCAAGCTTCTTAACAAACAAAATGGAGTAAAATCGCGATTAGGGTTTTTCTGAAGGGGGACGGTAAGGGAGGCTGGTGGAGGCTAATAACCCTTTAAATAGGGTGTAGAACCCTTGAAATTAGGGTTTCATTTTCCAGCTCCTACTCGTCGAGTCAGGGTCCTCCGACTCGTCGATTAGGTCCAATAATCCAAGCGGGCTAATCCGCCTCTACACAACGAGTTGGGGCAACCAACTCGTCGAGTAGGTCCATAAACATGTGTGTAAAGCTTTAAAACTTATACCTGGAAGTCGGTGTGTTACATTTCCTAAGTAGCTCCCTTTAAGGGGGCACTAGCTATAAAAATTAGCGGTCGCGTGCAGTTTAGAAACATCTGAATCTATAAATTATTTGACCATCAAACAAAGCTCAATCATACTTGGACTACAAAATAGTGTTATATTAAAATGAATCTTACCATGCAGTCACTAACTCAAAATGCTCGGAGTCATTTCTTGGTATGTGTAACTGTATCAGGATTAGTTTTTCAAAATTACAATAGCAGAGAGGGAGATTGACAAAACTTTCTTTGTGGATTCGGTTGAATGGACTTATTTTAGCTGGAGATAAATTGTATCTATGGTGGTAAAGATAAGTGTGTCCAAACATTAACAAACACATATGAATGGAAAAAGTTTCAAACTCGAAGGTAGATGTTGATAATCATGCCTCCAAGAACAACTATTTCACATAGAAGACCTCTGAGCTTAATCAAGAACCTACAAATGGGAAACAAACGTGATAGTAAGTAAAAAATGAGCAGTACATCCTAATACATAAGTAAATCGTAATACAAGCATATAAATCTGAGGACCTGAGGTCAATATAAGGAAAGTGTAAGTTAATTTTAGCATTGAAAAATGTATAGAAAAAAAGTCATAATACACAAATATAATTCGGAAGCATACCAACAGTAAAGATTAGAGAAGAAAACATTACATGGGCAAAACAAAACAATACATGATACATAGTCTATATGTCATCCTATATGAGGTCATGCCCTCAAAAAGAACAAGCTCATCCATGTCTAATTTCATATTATCCTCCCACTTTCTAATTGGACGTCCTCTTCTCCTCCTACCATCAAATTTCATTAAATTAACCCTTGTCGTTGTCACAGCTAGATCCATCACATTAGGATCTAGGGAAATGAGAGCGAATTTGAAGAAAAACAAATTAATACTTAGGTCGCATTTGGATCGGGGGATTCCATATAATTTGAAGGGACTTAGTGAAATCATTTCGCATCTCTTGTTCGGTTAAAAGATTCAATGAACGAGATTAGGATTTTATACTCTTTCTTCTTACTATGAATTTTCAAATCCATTCCATCAAAAAAATTTCAGAAGACAACAGAAGTCTTTTCATCTTATTTAAAGAATCCTAATTTATACATTAAAAAAAAGGAATCTATATATAATAAGCCGAATTAATTCTTGTTCCCATTTAAATAAAGGAATCCATTCCACCATCCTCCGACCCATTAGTCTATCGACTTTTATAATCTTGCAAAATAGTTTCTTTCAAGTTGATATTCATATTTTAAAGTATACTTCAATAATATAGTTTTAAAGATGGGTTTAGGTCATTTTTTATCACTTAACGTTTTTTAAGTTTTAAAATGTCATCAAACTTTTGGATTTGTGCTCATTTAGTCACTTAACTTTTGGCTTCGTCACATTTAGTCACCTAACTTTTAAAATTGTCATTTAGTTACTAAAATTTTAAATTTTTTCAAAAGTTTAATGACTAAATGAGCACAATTTTAAAAGTTAGGTGACTAAATGAGCACAAATCTAAAAGTTAAGTGACAAAACCAAAAGTTAAGTGACTAGATGAACACAAAGTCAAATGTATGTTGACCTCTTAAAACTTAAAGAGTTAAATGACCAAATGAGCACAAAACCAAAAGTTAAGTGACCAAAAATAACCTAAACCTTTTAAAGATATTAAAATTAGTTTTACACTGTTTAAAATCTGTTTTCTACTTGAACTACAATGCTTCAGCCTACAAGCTATTTTAACAGTTTCTATTTTGGAGCTTCAAAACGTATTACCCCTTTTAAAACGTAAATTTATACGATTAACTCTTACAAAACCAAAACTTAAACTATTCTTTACGTTATAAAAGGTACCAACGCTACTAGTGCTACAACCAAAAATGTTTACATTTACAACTTACATACAAGCAAAAAATGTTCAACTACCACCCCGAACATCCATCTTCCGAGTTTGTAAATGAAACATTTCAACTATATCCATATTTGTGCTACAATCACTCGGCTTTTTATCTAATCTCGCCCGAATAAACCTCGGGAATCTAACCGAAATCCCACGTGACGGGTGCACCAAACCCATGGCCGCATGGTGCACCGGCGACACGGTGAAGTCCGCCCCCCGTATCTCCCACACCAATTCTGGACTAAACCACATATCCGGCTCCTCACCCGTTTGATAATACACCGGTTTCTCATTTTTCGACAACATCTTCTCATCAACAAAAAACTCTTTCATCTACAAGTTTCAAACACAGTACAATTTTTGTCTTATTGACATCTGTCCCAGTCCCATCCCAAACCAGTCCAATACACGTCAAGTACAATTTTTGTCTTATTGACATCAGTCTCGCAGACCAGTCAGTCCAATACACACGTCAAGTACAAATTTTGTCTTATTGACATCAGTCTCGCAGACCAGTCAGTCCAATTCACACGTCAAGTACAATTTTTGTCTTATTGACATCAGTCTCGCAGACTAGTCCAATACATGACAAGTACAATTTTTGTCTTATTGACATCGGTCTCGGTCTCGGTACATGTCAAACACAGTACAGCATGTTTTGGGAGTTGTTGTGAATAAGAAAATGACGGACCTCTTTATAGAAGGCGTCAGAGAATCCCGACATTACGCGGCAAACACTTTGATACTCTTCGGTATCAGGATCATAGCATGCCATTAAAAACGGACTATACCTAATAAAAAAAGTCAAAATAAAATATAATAAAAGTCAACATAAGAATCAAGAATAAGAATAAAAGTTTTTTACCATCCGGCTTTTCTTCCATTTCCATACCAAGCACCAATTGGAACCAAGTCAAGGGAATCATTTAACCCTTCTACATAATCACGTTTCACCTTTCAAAAAAAAATGATTTTTTAGTTTTTGAGATTATTTAAAATCAAGTCATTGAAAAAGATCTAATAAATTAAATTAAACCTTTAACCAAGAATCTGAACGCTTTGATGGAAGATAACCAGCTTCAACATCAAGAGACTTAACCATGAGTCCCTCACATGATGAATGAAAAGCTTCATCAAAAAACTGATTCATTTTACTCACTATGGCTTTGTTTGCCACGTCAGCATCATCCATCTCCACCTACATTTTTTTTTTTGACTTGAGAACAACACAAACTGTATATAAATTATAAAATATCAAAATGGAATACAAAACATTAAAACTCACTGTTATTTCCTTTGAATATTCGAAATATCCAGTCTTTTCATCACCAAATAAACCTTTCATATCTGAAATTAAATTAGGAAAAAGGAAAAAATAAAAATTAAAAATAAAAATGAGAAATCTTACATTTTCTTCTTTCGCGCAGAGGGAAACCCAACAGCCTGTAAATTGTAAAAGATAGTTTTGAGTTAAAAATTATGAAGATTTTGTATTATTAACAAATAGTTGAATTAAGAATATAAAGAATTAAAGATTATTACTGTTCTCCATTAGCAAACATGACATCAAATACAAAGACACATATATCAACCTGTAAATAAATTAATAAACAAGATTAATAATTTTCAAGAGTAATTTTTATAAAAAAAGAGAATCTAACCTTTATATTATCAACTAAAATAGATGAATTTTTACTCCCTCTATCACGAGAAGATAGTTCTTGAAAAGATAGAAGCTTTCCACCATTTTTTCTATCAATAGCCACCACCTAAGATTATGCTCAAAATAAAATAAATATTTTATAAAAGAAATTATGATGAATTTTGTTATAAAAACATACCTCAGCATCAATTATGAAAGTCATGGTATCTTTATTGCAAGTATCATTTATTATATTTATTAAATCTGGAAATCTTGATGTTGTTTTCATCTCCATTTCTTGAAAATACGCGTATAGATCCATCAGGTAATTTGTGAATTTGGGCACGTTGTCCATCATATCTATAAATAATTAAATATATAATCAAGAAGTTATCAAATTAATAAATGAAAATTTTATAAAATTAAAAAAAAAAGGACTTACTTAAATTCGCAAGTAAAGGCTTTTCCTTGAAATAGCTTCAAGACTTGAGGGATTCCATTAGTAATTCTAAAACATAAAGATTATCACATTGTGAACAATCAACTAAGTAACTTTTTAAGTTTTTTTTTTTTATATAAAATATGAGTAATATTTTTGTATACTTTGCAAGCATTGGCTTAATGGGTATGCCTGGAACCATTGATAATGTTGATGAAGAAAATTGAATCCCTTTTTCCATCAAAGAAGGAATAAGCAAATCCTGAAGAATAAAGATTATAAAGAAAAATAAATAATCAACTAAAATCTTGCTCCTTTTTACTAAAAATAGAATAATTTATTCATTCATTGCATTAATAGAAATAACTTACTAAATTTGGGAGCATGTTATACGCTTCAACAACTGCTGCACTGAGTCCCTAATAGAAAAGGGTATATCAGTAAAAAGCCACAACCATAGAAAAATAATCTTGGAATCATCAACAAGAGAAGAAGAAAAAAAAACCTGAAGTGTTTCTTTGGTTGTTTCATGGCAAGAGTTCATAACAATAGCCTGAGCTAATGAAGGAAGAACAGTTCTCATCATGGCTCCAATTCTTAGATTCTTGACCTAAAAAAAGGAATTTAAAGATAGAAATGAAAAAGTTTTATAAAATGTTAATAAAATTTGAAAAGTAAAAAAGTTACCAATGTTCTGACTATAAACTTGATCTCCATCTCTCTACAAGATCTCATTAGATTAATAATGAGGTTTCTTTTACGCAATGTACTTCCATTACCTGTTTGTACACTGACAAATTCTATATTTTATATTAATATTAATATACAAGAATAAATTAAAAAGGGCAAAATCATAAATAAATTCCATACCTTATTTCTCGAAGAACTGAATAAACTCGTCTGATTGAGAGTGGAGCTGGAGGTGCTAGTAACCTTTGTGTCTGGCGACATAGTTGAGCCACATCACCTTATTTACAGATATTATTTAGTATAAAAAAATGAAAAATTATAAATAAATAAAAAAAAACTTACCAAGATCACCTAAAGTGTTGTACAACTCACGAATCTTCAATCTGTTTGTTCCACATGCCTCTTCCATTGCTGATGTCACAATACTTCCACCAATGTTCAGTTCCTGCATATAATAATAATGAGAAAATTGCAAAAAAGGTCCCTGTGGTTTGCATGTTTCGTTGAATAAAGTCCAAAAAAGTTTCAACTTGCAAAAATAGTGTTTGGTTGTGGTTGTGGTTGTGGTTTTGGTCCCTGATTTTTGAAACTTGAAACTTTTTTGAACCTTAGTGAAATAAAATAGCAAAGTGAAAACCACAGGGACCATTTTTGCAGTTTTCTATAAAACAATTTGCAAAAAAACCAACCGTGTTTTCATGGTCAGGGGCAATCTTATTTGTGCACAAGTACACAGCTGGCAACACATCCTCAGGTGACAAAATTAACAAGCTGTTTAAAATGAGAAAAACATAAGTAGTTAAGTATTAAATCAAATATAATGGAAAAAATAAAAATCAACAGACCTTCTAAACATATTGCAGAGCATAGATGTAGCTTTAATCTTTCCTTTTTCGCCCTCCACCAAGTTGAATGTCCTGGCAAGATGTAAATAGGGAGCAAACTCTCCATCTTTCCAGCAAGCTGCAGCATTCAAATCTCAGTATCACATAAGTTACATGTTATAGACTATTAGACTTATCGTTAATCGATAAAAAGATTGTCTTAATTCATTCTCATTAATAAATAACTTTTGTGTAATACATAATCTTGGAAAAGATTGAGAAAGTTGAACAAATTAATTAGACCAACCATGGTCTATGGGAGAGTACTTCTCAGGTGGAAGTGATATAAGATCTTGAGATGCTTCAGTGTCTTCATTAGAAAAGATCCTCTTTTGATTTTCACTTTGTTTATCTTTTAAGTAATACAAGTCAAGAGCTTTGTTGATATCACCCTTTGTTTCCTCTAAAAGGGTTGTAGCATACTCATGCAATGACTCGTTGCCATTTATGATTTGTATGAACTGATCTACTTCATCTTTGTAATTCTTGATGACATCATTGTTGGATATTTCAACCACAGGTGAGAGCTTATTGAAGAACTTAGTGATTGGGCATTGCTTTGGTCCACTGGATTCGAGTTGTGAAGTGATTTTTGGCTTCTTGCTTGATATATTGTCATTGATCTTCCTCTTTTGGTTAGGAGAAATGGTGTTTTTACTTGAAGTTGATTGTTTCTTTTTGTTTGGGGAATTGATACTTTTGGTTTGATTAATGGTGGATGATTTCTTTCTTTTACTTGAAGTGAAATCATCAGTTTTTAATAAGGATTTAACAGGAGGTGAAGGTGATGCAAAGCCTTTAGATGAGGTGGATGAAGCATGTGCAATGACCTCTTTGAGAATCTCAACTGGGTTTTCCTGTGATGTGGAAATGGGTGTTCTAGTAACCACCTGTTCATAATATTCAGTTTCATGTTCATAAAAATAAGAAACGGATTCAACAACATTCTTTCTTGATTTACTTAAAACATCCATCATTTGGTCTCTAGTGACCCAATCAGGCAAACAATCAAGAAGTTCCTGTAACATTTCATCTGTTTCATGTTCATCTTTCTGATCACAAAGTGAAAAAGTATCATTTTGTGAATCTTTCTCAAGATTCTCATTTAGTCCCTTGGACCCACGATGAAAGCCCTTCAAGAAATCTTGTTTAATGGCCATGTCATCAACCAATCCTGCAAAATGCTTTAACATTTTATTGACATGTTTCCCATCAAGATTCTCAACATCCACACCTACTGTTGGAATAACACGTTTTGGTCTTAAGAACTTTACATACTCTCTAAGTTCTTCATAGTTTGAGTGTTCACTATAAGGGACTAAATGTATCTCAAATGGGCCTTTTGTCCTCACAGCAAACTTGTTACGCTTTACTTCATAGGTCCACCCTGTTGGGACAAATCCCACCACCTTAGAATACCCTTTAGCATCCTTAATTTCATTCATTTTTGCAAAATTAGGTCTGAAATAAGGCCAGGTTTCACCTAAAACATTCCATCCAATAACATGAACATCACTTTCAGATTCTTTAGTGGTAAATACATCATCTTCTCCAAACCCTAGAGTATGCAGAATACCCAATTTTCTGTCATCGACATGTATCTTTCTCTTACACCTACGTGAAATCTCAAGCAGGATTTTCTCTTTTCCAATGACATAAGTGGCAACAAGAAACAAAACAGACTTTAAACCACCATCATTCTCAACGCTATACTTGTCAATCACACTAACTACATAATCAATGGACTCCTGTTGCGAAGGAAATACGTATTTCGGATTACAATAAGTAGTATCCAGGAAAACGGCATCAGCACCCGTAAATTCGTTCAGAACAGTTTCGGATTTCATAGAAACAGAATACCTAAAGTCACCGGTATGCACATACCTCTCGCAACTCCCGTCCCTGGTCGGGATTTTGAACAAGAACTGGACTGCACCGGGGCAATGATTTGCGTCGACCAATGAAATCTCACAGCCGTCGACCAAAACTGACTCCGACAAAGGCAAAGGCACAACAAATGATGCCGAAACTTGAAGTACTTGAATAACAAGGCGGGCAGTAATCTCTGAACAAAAGATAATTCCTTTAGACCAGTTCGCATTGAGTCCGCCGTAGTGGTCTGAGTGGAAATGTGAGAGGAAGTACGATACGGAGTAGTCGCCGGATAATCGGAAGCCGTCAACGATAAATTTAGTTTTGGGGATCAGTTTGGAGAGGGGAAAATCTGTGGGCATTGGAGGTAGAGGAGAGCGCGAGGAAAGAAGAGAGAAAGAAAGTGGAGGACAAGTTGTTTGTGGGGATTGGAGAAATAAAGCTGTAGAATCTAGGGTTAGGGTTTTGGGTTTGGAAGATGATGGTGATGCCATATTTGGTTTGACTCATGAAGATTACACTGAATGAATATCAAGAACCAACTTCAGGTTAGTTGGCCAGAGAAGGTCGGCCACTGGCGGCGGTCGAAGGCGGTTGTGCAGGCGATTTTGATGGCGCCAAAAGTATCATTCACCGTAGTCTTTGTTTCCGACCATTACTATGCCGATTATCTTTATTCCAATATATGGAATTGATAATCCAGAGCAATGTACAAGTTTTAAAGCGTAGAGTGTAAGTTTTAAAGACGTTATATTTTGAATTTGAAATCATAGAGCAAAAAATATTTCGATTGGATTATTTGATTTGAATTTATAGGTATTTGGATTTGTTTTCAATAGAATGAATTATTATTTTCAAACTATAAAATAACAATAAAATAATATAAAAAAAATATGTAACAATTTATTATTCATTTGTTTATATTATTTATTTTAATTTTTAATATATATATTTAATCATTTATTTATTTATTTTTTTCAGTTTTGAAAGATTGGTCATTTTTATTTGAACCGACAAAGAAAGCCATGATAGTTTACAAAGTCAATTGTTTTATTTATCATCATAGGCAAATTCAAAAAACTTTATCCAACAAAAAATCTTATGGTATATTTTTTTCAAAAAAGATTCCTATAATGTATTTTCCTAGTAATAGTTTATAAACTTAAGTTTACAACTAAATAATTTGTTTTTTGTTAAAGTTGGTTAATATTTTTTTAATGTTTGGGCTCTTGCAGCTTGTATTATAAAAATCGATCCAACCGAATTTGTAATTTGGTTGAATTTGATCGGGTTATAATTTAGTATGGACTATTCGTATTCATGTTTTGATAATCGAAAATCATTTTGGATTTACTTAATTGGAACATATCAAACTGATCCGTCCAAACGAACATCCATATAGCAGGGGCGGACGCATGATTTCGTAGTAGGTGTTGTCGGTGGCACGTAGGTGTTGCCGGTGGCACATTTTACTTTTACGTAGTGGCACAATAGTAGAAAAAACAAAAAAATTCAAAAAAAATTTACACTGTGTCCCGAAAAAACAAAGATTGCCAGTGTCACTATGGCATCATAGTGGAATCACCTCTGCCATATAGGGGACTGCACTTTCTATTTTTATCGATTAGCTAATATTTGTTGATACGTTTATTATTATGAGAGAATTTCATATATGCTCTTATTAAATATCAAAATATCATATTTTTCAGCTTAATTTCTAAATATTATATTTATACTTCAGAAACCTTGACAATATTATATTTGTCCAAATCATTTTTACATCATTTTTAATAGTTTATAATCGTTTTTTATGTCTTACAATAATTATTATAATAACTAAAAAAATAATCATATTTTCCCTACGTCTAAATTGGTGGATCATTTGCTTCTAAATTGTTGAAATTTCGTTATCTTGACAAAAACAAAAAACGTTTTCATCCTTCTCTCTAGAATGTATGCATTGATTAATCATTTTTATTGTTACCGATTATTAATATGTTATAGCAGGAGGATACTTTAAATATTACCTTTGATATTTTGATGTTAAGAATACTATATATAATATTTTGATATTTTAGGGCATATATGATATTTTGATTTTAAGAATGATATATATATATATATATATATATATATATATATATATATATATATACTACTTTATAAAGTATACATAATAAGAAGTTTAAAAGTTTTAAGACCAAAGTCTTAAAACTAAGGAGCTTGAATCTTGATCCTTAATTTTACATAAAATAGATCTAATGGTAAAAAATGATAATCCATGTGAACCAAAAATGACCAATCAAAATGAAACATTTTTTTGAATCCTAAATATAAAAAGTCACTCCACAAAACCTAGCCCTATTTTAGTTTTCATCGGCCGTTACCTTCTTTCTTTCTTATTTCATCCATGTATTCCTCTCAACCCTATTCCCACAAAACCACCAGCGACCTCATCGTTTTTTTCAAAATCGAAGGCCACCTCCGCTGTCGTTGCTTCCTTCAAAAGTTGTGATCGTCTCTGCCGCCTTCAACCATCGTAGGCTACTCTTTCTCCGGTACCCGTCATGTAATACCACCACCAACATTTCTACTTCATCAGTGCAACTTTCTTTCTCTAATATCCGTCACTACGGAATGAGGAAGCCGTAACTGCTTCCGCTTTTTTCATTTTTTGGTGTAAAATGTTCTAGATCTGTTTGTATTTATTAATATGTTGGAGACCTGTGTGTGTGTAGGATGTACTTCGTGTTTGATTTCGATTTATGTTTATTAGTTTGTTGATTCTCTTTTTCTTTGCACTTCAGTTTCATCTATAATCTTAGATATGAGTTTGTGTTTTTATTTATTTATGCTTTATAACTGAGAAAGGTATTATTATTTATCTTTTGTTCCTCTGTATATTTTTTGTAATATTTCTGTTTGAGTTTCTGATGGTTTATAGTTTTGTATAGTTGAAGATATCATATAATTTGTAATGGTTGTTACATGAAGATCTGACAGAAAAGTTCCGACCTTTGAGCCTTAGATTTTTGGATATGAAAGGAAAGGGTTGTTGGTTCTGGATGAAATGTATTTCAGATCTGAATGTAGAATGATTCTGAAAAAGGTTTCATTATTTATATCTGAGATTTCTTTCTTTGGGTTATCCAAATTTTTTGTTATATATGTTTCAGGTCTCGAAGTTCATTGAGAGAAAATGGTTAAACAGGTTTCCTACCCAAGTTGAAGATATATTTTTTTATGTTATTGAAGATATTTATTTTTTTATTTTTTTATGACTTTGTTAGATTTTTCTAATCTTTTTCTATATTACTTTGTCATAAATTTTTATTTAAAGTTCAAGTTGATTGTTTGTGAGTTTATTTGTGTACAGTGTTTTAGATTTGGAAGTGAAATGAATAGTTAGATTAATGTTAGTTAAAATAAATACAGTTTTATAAATTTGTGATTACATGTAATCTTAAATTGGTTCAATTTATATCATTTTTTGAATACAAAAATATTGTTATCTGAGTTTTTAGAAGTTAAACATTTAACGAACATAACATTTATTTATTTAATTAACATTTGCAAGCTAAAATCTAATTTAAGTTTTATCATAACATTTTTAATTGTACGTTTTAATCACTATATTATCGATTATTTTAGTTAGAAAAAGGTAAGAATAAAAAAATTATCATTTCTTTTATACATAAAATGAAAAATTACTACAAATGACCTTTTTAGATAAAGATAGTATTTTTTTGCTAAACTCTCTAATGTGTTCAAAATTAACCTTAAATATTATAATATTTATATTTTTAATCTAAAGTACAAACGTCATTTGATATCAAAATATTATTAATTAAAAAATAAAAATAATATTATTAATTAAAAATATTTTGAGCAAAAAGTAGAATACTTTTTATAAAATAAAATATGTATAAAAGAGTTTTGATAGTAAAGAAAGAAAAATCAACGCTTTTGATATCAAAATATATGATTTGACAATACATTAATTTTTTTTTTGAAACGGCAAATCTAACCTACTCCTAAACTACACCTTAAATCCACCTATGTCCACGACGGGACTTGAATCATCGACCTCAAGTAGAGAGGGCAACACCGGATACCGCTAGGCTAGAAGCCCTTTGGTTTGACAATACATTAATTAAAGTCTACATTTTATGACACATTTTGGTAGCATGCTTAAAATGTTTTTTACATTTAACCATAACCATTTAACAATTATATATGACACCATGTATTTTATTAAAAGGTATTTTTTTTATTCTTTACACAAATCCTTACATTTTGAACCAATAACTAACATATGTTATCAATATGTTTAAAGTAATAAATTAGTTCAAAAAAAATAAATACATATATTCGGTTAATATGTTTGAAGTCATGATTAAATGTAAAAAATACGAAATATAAAAATAATGGTGATTGGTGACATGTATGGGGAAACAACAAGAAAAAGATCTAGATATCATGATGATATGCACGAGGAAATGCTTAAAAAAGTATTAATTTTGTAATATCCATTAAATATTTTAGTAGTCTTACTATTTATAATAAGATTTACATTTGGTTTATTTACTATATTTTTAATAATTTTTTTTATCTTAAATATAGTTTAAATATTTATTTATAACACTTGAACAAATAGATATAATATTATTATTATTATCTTGGTGTTAAGAATCAAAATATCAATTTATAGATTTAACATCGTGTTGAAAAAAAATACTAAGGAAATATATTGTACATGGTTCTTATTTTGGTTTCAATAAAACAAAAGTCGTAACTTACGGATAAGTCAATGATAGGAGCAAATCTTATGCAAATATAATAAGAGCACGGTAATTATAAAAAAAATAATAAAAATTAGTTCTGAAGATTATTAATTACATTGTTTTTATTGAGTTTGATGTTTTTAGTGCAACATGAATTAATTATAAATATATTTTATATACATACACTTTTCTTTTAATTTTATATAAATCATTATAATAAGCCATATTAAGACAAACATCAAAGGAATGAATTTCACCGCACCAGAAACAAAATGTAAAAACAAATGTTATATATTTAATATTTAACTTTTCATATGTTTATGTCATGTATATTTTAGCAAAAAAATGTAACATTTTTTATGTTAAACATAGTTAATTATTTATATATTTAATATAACATATTTTCACCTTTTCAATTTGAAATGACACAAATAAAATGGAAATTTATCATCTCAACATTATTCGTTGAAATGAAATTAATCGTCGTCCATTGCGAGATAAAGAGTAATAGAAGAGAATTACTATTTGATGCCTGTCTAGAGACAACTGATCGCCAAAAGGAACAAATCTCTGGAATGAAACAAACCAAAAGGAAACAATTTGACGACCGCCGAAATGAAACTAAATTTCGTTCCAAACTAATCGGCGGAATAAAACAAATCGCCGCCGCCGCATCGCGCGGGCACGCTCCTAGTATATATATATATATATATATATATATATATATATATATATATATATATATATATATATATATATATATATATGGGAAAAGGGAATATACATTACAGCCCCACCTAAGCTTAGGTACTAAACCTCTTGAAAATACATTGTTTTACTATATAAAGATTACGGTTAATGG